AGAATGGGGACATGGTTCTGTACACCGCATGGGGAGCCGAACCGTGAAAGAAATGAATTTCAAATTGTTCTTTGTAAACACTATTTTTCATTGATTTAAATAAGACTTTGACAAGAGCCGCCTACAAAAAGTTTTTTGATTAAACGTTAAATCAGGAAAAAAGTCATTACCATTTGGTTCGCTGAAATACCAATATAATCTCAATATACCAGCTGCGCTGGGCACAGAGAAATTGTCTAAAATCTCTCTACAAGAAAAGTAAAAAAAGTTTGGGGATGCAAGGGCTCGAATCCGCGGCCCCCTTTCGCGCGCTCGCTTGAGAGACAGTCGCGCTATCCTCTCGGCCACTCATTCTCTGACGATCAGAGCTCCCTTTCTTCGCGGCGGCTTTTTTTTGCACAGGAAGTATGATAATAACTTTTTTTTTGTTCAACAGGATGTACCTATTAATTTATAATTCCCTGTCGATCAAAAAAAAGTTTGCCGAAATCGGCTCACGGGGAACCGAGATCCAAGGTGTGACGGACAGACGGACGAACAGACACTTCTCTTTTATATATAGTAAATAATACAATCATTAAACTAGTCCTTTTTTTCTTTTGAAGTTAATTCAGAAATTTTAGGAAGCAAAAACAAAATCAATTGAAAAAGCTGAATTGTCTTTCATAATTCATCGATTCACTTCAATTTTTTACTATCTCGCAAATTTTCTGTACTAAAAATGCTTTAATGAAAAACTCTAGTGTTTATAATTCTAAATTTCTTTTTCATCTTGCTCTTTCTGTTTTTTATTCTCTTAAAATGTACTCTAAGGACTTGTTTACGCCCCAAATGGTGACTGCTCATCTATTTACTTGAACTCCAAGAGAACAATTGAATGTAGCCATTTTTGAGAATATTTCTCATAAACGCATAAACTGATTTTTTGTTTTTATTGTTCTACTGAATTAAAAAATGTCAAATCCTTGCTGTAAGAATGGCCCAGGCTACGCGTCACCACAAGAGGCCACAAGGGTGAGTCCAGTTCACTAAATTTTAATTAAATTAATTAATTTACAATCATATTCAACTCAAATCCTATATTGTACCAGAAAAAAAGAGAGATGTTTCTTAAAAATTCGGGCTTTTAGCCTCTCTTAGATGTCTCTTAAAATCAGAAAAAAGTGAACAATTCTATTGTTTTTCTTTGCTTGCTTTGAGAATCAAAAACTATACCAACTTCTTGTTTCCAGGATCAATTTTATGAGTGTTTTTTGCAAAAGTCTTCTTTTTAAACTTACTTCTTTAAGGGTTGCATACAGATACGCAATTGGAAACCATGTTTTTATTGATTGCATTGATTTGATAGGTTTGAAAAAATGTATTTAAAATTTATTTAAAATGGACTCAAAAATTCATCTCCTGAGCCGCGTTATGGGTGAGAGAGGGGACAGAGCTTAAAAGCTTTGATTTTCCGAAAGTTTAGGGACCTAGAGAGAAAGTTATTTTCATCACAACACCACATGTCGATTTGGATGGAGCGGATGCAATTTGTAGTGTCGACGTGGATCCGAAAAGTTCAACTTTTTGTCAAGTATTAACTATTTAACACTTTTATTGGATAGCAAATTGTTTTAGGTTCTCTGCAAGTTAGAGTTACCGTTTAAAGGTGACGAGATTCATCACTCTGGCTGGAATATTTGTTCTTCTTGTCATGGATCTGTCGGGGAAAAAAGGTTTTTTTTTTTGATTGAATTTTGAAAAAAAAAGATAACGAAAAACTACTTGAAAGAATTTAGATTTTATATTTTTAGTTTAGTTTACCTCTGAGAGAAGTTAAATTAATCTTTAGCTCTACTTTAGCTCTGCTTTAGCTCTACTTTAGCTATACCCAGTGCCTAAGATTTGGAAATTTAAGTGTTGAAACCCAAACTCACTTCAGAACCCATCTGATTTGTCCATGTCCTCTATCCAATCGAATCTACGTGATCAATGTTGAAGATCCTCAATTGTTAAAGCTGGAAAAAGTCAGCAGTAATGCTTTTGCAAAGCTTTTTCGTTCAGATCATTGAACCCTCTGAAGTTGAAAGGTTTGAAGTCACTTTTCCGCACACAACTCACTGTTTACCCAATGGAGAAGTGATGCTCAGTACACTTGGAGACAGAGATGGAAATAATCAAGGTGAAATGTAACTCAATCAAAATTCAAAACTATTTCTAGGCAACTTTTTGCTGCTGGATAAGAAAACCTATGAACCGGTTGGTCTGTGGATTAGCGACGGCAAGCATTTGCCATTTGGTTACAGTTTTTGGTCAGGGCTATTTCTTTATAAAATAATTATAAAGTAAATTCTAAATTTAAATCTAAACTGACTCTAAACTGACTCCTTTTTCTAATTTCAAACTTTTAGGTATCAACCACGACGAAACGTTCTCTTTTCAACGGAATGGGGAGCTCCACGATTAGTGAAGAAAGGTTTCGACTTGAAGCAGTTAACTGAAGGTAGAGATATAGCTACAGAAACGTTTCGACTTGAAGCAGTTAACTGAAGGTAGAGATACAGCTACAGAAACGTTTCGACTTGAAACAGTTAACTGAAGGTAGAGATATAGCTACAGAAACGTTCAACTAAAATTTAAATGATAAAAATTACATTAAATCTAGGAAAATACGGTCACAGTGTTCACATTTTCGATTGGAAAACTCGTAAAGAACGCCAAGAAATTGTACTCCCATTACCCCAAGGGGCACTTCCATTTGAGGTTTGATGAATTAAGTTGATTACCCTTGCTATAAAAATTGGAAATGTTAATTCTTTGGTACTATTGGGGGGAGGCACTTTTTTCTTCAAAGCCGCTTTTTCTGGAGTAGTTTTATGTGTAGATTCCAAAAACAATAAGAGCTTGAGAATAGGGATTTTAAGCCGAGTTTCGGGGCTCCAAAGTGCACGCTTCTTTAGTGTACTTCACGATATGGAGCCCAAGCTATCAACTATTGGGGCACTTTTCGAGGTCAAAACTAGAGCCAAAACCATCTTTAACCACTAAATATTCATTTTCTCACTTAAATTAACTCAAAATTACAAATTATATATTCAAAGTAACTTTTTGCAGCCGCGTTTCCATCACGAACCGTCGAGTGGCCATTGTTTTGTCGGAACAGCCCTCGGCTCAGCTGTCTATCATTTCTATCCAAATCCATCCGTATTACGTTTATTGAAAGATTTTGAAAACACTTGTTTTAGAATCCTGAAGTATATGATTACAAATGCATCATTTCGATTGAACCAAAAGAGGTAACTGGCTGGCTTCCATCGATGCCCGCTCTTCCCTCGGCCATCACCAACCTCCTACCCTCTTCTCTCGTTTCTTTACCCTCAATGCCGGCCCTTTGCACTGACATTTTGATTTCGATGGATGATAGGTTTTGAGCAAAATCCTACTTTATGAAATTGTTTTTTTTTTCGGTTTCTGTATGTTACTTGTTTTCTGCATGGAGAGGTTCGTCAATACGATATCAGTAATGTCGATGAGCCGAAATTAACCGGATTGGTAATTGAGTTTTAGGCTTTTATTTTTCCTATATTTTTTTGGAAAGACCATTTATAGATGAAAATGTTCAAATGCAAAGTTTTTAGCAAATATTTAGGTACAGCTCGGTGGCTCTCTACACAAGGAAAGCGGTATCACCGTCAAAGATCCTGATTTTGTGAGCTCTAAGTCACTTTTTATTTTTCTTTATTGTACAGGGTGACGCAGAATTACCCGCACAAGGTATACGCCGATTACGCACCGCGCCTTAAAGAAAGATGACATGAAAACATCAAATTTTTATTTCTTGAACATTTATCAAACAATAAAATCACTTTTTTCTCAAAAAGATTTCCCTTAGTGTCCGCGCAGGCTTGAAGGCGTTTTAGGAAAGCACCAACGGTGGCAGAAAGGTAATCTGACATCGAGATCTGCCCACGGTAGCTATCGAGATCTGCAGAAAGGTAGCTGACATCGAGATCTGCCCATAGAATGCATCAACAGTGGCAGAAAGGTAGCTGACATCGAGATCTGCCCACGGTAGCTATCGAGATCTGCAGAAAGGTAGCTGACATCGAGATCTGCCCATAGAATGCATCAACAGTGGCAGAAAGGTAGCTGACATTGCGGTCTGCCCACGCCTTCTGCAGAGATTTCTTCAAAGACTCAATTGTTTTATGGGTTTTTGAACACGCCTTTGGTTCTCCATACGGATCTTCGAGAAATCTTCAAAACATTGGCCATTTTTCGTTGTGAGCGAGCCCTATTGTAACGAAGTCGATCTCGCAAATTAATAATTAATTTCTTCAAATTAGCTTTGGTGACCGCGGTTAGTTTCGCTCCGTGTCCACTTCGGTCAGAATTTATTTCTAGAGCTCGATAGCGTTTGATCGCATCGTAAACTGTTTGTCTAGGCACAATCAGCCGTCGAGAGATCTCCTTCGCCGAAACGTTCCTCTTGTGCAAAGCGATAATTGAAACCCGATGGATTGAAGCTTTCACCATTCTGGAAACAAAACTTATTTTACAGGAAAACAATAAAAAACAAGTCAAATAACTAAGAAAAGCATGAAATTATTTTAAAAAAAGATTTCTTGCCGCTTTTGCAACGTGAAAGTGCGTGCGTTGCCTTGTGCGGGTAAATCTGCGCCATCATTTAATTGACTAAAGACTTTTAATCTAATAATTGTTTCTAAAACCACAAAAAATTATATTGAAGTAAAATTTATTCTAAACAACGCGAAAAGCTGACAAGGCTAAAACTTTAGAAGGGAGTTTATGTTACATCCAAACGATCTATTCAATCCTTTCAAGCCGTTATTTAGGTAGTGTTCTTCTCAATTCTAAAAAGCACACTTTTATTGAAAACGCCAAAAATTTTTAAGCAACCAGCTGATTAACTTAAAATCTTCCAAGGGAACACTCTAATTCAGGTGCCCCCACCGCCTACAGTAATAAAAGGTCGTCGAATCGACGGTGGGCCGCATATGATGCAGTTGAGTTTGGACGGTCGAAGACTTTACGTAACGATGACCTTATTTAGGTGGATTTATTCAAATATATCTTCATTTTCAAATTGTCTGCCTAAATCTAATCGTAGCATCAAATTAAAACAATAAGCTTAAGGTCATGGGATCAACAATTTTACCCGGATCTCAAAAAGACAGGTGGAGCCATGCTGTTGATTGATGTGAATCCCGATGGTGGAATGAAACTCAACGAGGATTTTCTGGTTCATTTTGGAGAGGTGAATGCATTATGAGAAATTTTAAGTTCAGAAAATCATCTTTTTTTTATTTTATTGGAAAACCTAATCATCTCAATTATAGCTTGATGGTGGTCCGTATTTGGGACATGAAATGAGATACCCGGGCGGTGATTGCACTTCCGATATTTGGATTTAATATTTTTATTAATAAACATAAAACCTAAAGAAGTCTGAAATTAAAATACCTAAAAATATAACAATCTCTAAGTCAAAAATAACAAATATTAACATTATAATAAAAAAAATGAATACTAAAAGAATTTTGAATTTTACCAATACTAATAAAACCACTTTCAAAAGCATTAATTTTCCTTTTAGTTGATTCTTTAACACTTAAAAAGCACTGTCCGTATTTGGGACATGAAATGCGATACCCGGGCGGTGATTGCACTTCCGACATTTGGATTTAATGTTTTTATTAATAAACATCTAATTTCGAACTGCAATTTTTGTTTTGTTCGCTTCTTTATCCTCTCACTTTCGATATAAATTTTAGCGTTAAGTATTAAAGTGGATTGAAATATGTTTATCCAGAGTGGCGCACAATTACCCGCACTCAGTTCAGATTCTCCAGGTTAGCGAAGAGTCAACCAATCGACCTAATCCCTTTTTTTATTATCAAATTGAATATTTCTCTTGCAAATGTGCTTTCTGGATTTGACCAGAAAAGTTTCTAAACTTTTGCTAGCGCGCTGCAAAGTTGCGACAAGCGTTTCCTGTGGCGGAATCGTGATTTTCTGCTTTTTGTAACTAGTTCAATGCCTCAAAATCAAAGAAAACCAGCTTCATTTACTCCTTTTTACTTATGATTTCGAAAATCTAGCTCATTTTTACTAGAAAACAATGAATTTCGATTAGGAATCAAAGTTCAAAATATGAATTTGAACTGAGTGCGGGGTAATTGTGCGCCACCCTGTACTTTATTTTTAGAATTAGATTCAAAAAGAACAGTTATTTTTGCGACGACGCGCTTGAAGACACAGAGATCACCATTTTTTGTGATTTTTTCTCACCAAGCAGCACCACGTATGACAAACTGAAACTGAAGCTACTAGTAGCTGGGGAATTCTCACCAAGTCATCAGGGTACACAGTTGTAGAAGCGCTGTGTAGACGATGAACTGCGCGAACGTAATATTACGATTTGCGTAATCGACCCAGTCAACGATCGACTGGGTGAGGTTTAGCGATAAGCCGGTCACAAGGTTGCACTAAATAGCTTCTGATGTAAACATGACATTTATATTCTGCAGAGTCATAGTCATACATCTCAGTACATTTCTCAACTATCGGCACCTGCCACACTGCCTGAGATAGGAGATCAGATTTTGGTAATTTTCGTTTGTAAGAAAAATTTGTGGAAAAGGAAAGAACAAGTTTGGCTATTTTTTTTGCTCAAATTTTCATGTCAATGTCAGAACTCTTGCATTTCTTTCGGCAAAAGAAAAGATAACCGAAAAGAGGTGCCAAAAAAGGTGCCTGTTCATGTAAAAAACACCTAGAAAGTCATAAATCTTTGGGTACACCTGGTGGAAAGGAACACAAATGTGTCTCTCAAAACAATTTACCCATTCAAGTTTATTCATAAACAGATTTTTGTGAGCACTTGTAAAGTTCAAACACTTAGATTTCCTTGAAATTATTCAGATTCACTATTCACTTTGAATCGAAAATCTGTTTTTCGACTCTTTCGGTTCATCTGTAAACAGTTTCTTTATGAAATCGTCTATACTTGCTAGCCTCTTCATTTTTCAAAAACTCTATGGGCTTGATTTTGAGCCAGCTGATGAAAGTGAGGTGCTCTGGGATCAGCAATGGAACTCAAGGTTAGAAAGTTTTGTGTTTAATTAATATATGCTTTCTTGAAACTTCAGTTAGAAGTGATTTTTGGCTCTTGTCGAGAATTCAGGCATCTAGAAAGATTCGAAGACTTTAGAACCGATCGTTTCACTTTGAAAACTCATAATTTCTCACAGAGTTGAGATTTTCTTTTACAAATTATGTAGAAAAATTATTAGGACAGTTTGGCTTCATAATAAATTCTATTTAGAGTTTGATTGGACCAGCCCAGAGAAAATAACAGGCGCTCAGAGCCAGTATCTCGTTCGGTCTTTTCCCAACTCCTCCTTTATTTCCTCAGTTGTTCAATCAGTTTTCATCCTGAAGCCTGATACAGTCCTCCACAATGTTGCTTTAGAAGAAAGTTACCAATCTTCAAGTCCTAATCCTTATTCAAGAGTCATCTAAACCTTCAACAGCCAAGTCAGTAAAATTAATAAACGCACCATACTTTAGCTATATCCAAAAGGAGATTGGACAAAACTTGAGTCTACAATGTGCCAAAACTCGAAGGTTTGCTGAGTGAATTGCTGATGAATTTAAGATATTTTAACGGATTCCTAACCTTCTAGGCAACTTGTACCAAGAAACATAATTTTTAAAACTAGTTGGAGCATCTTCGTATTGTCGACTAATACAAATCTCGATGGTTTCGACTCTTCAGATTTTAATGACCGAATGGAAATAAAGCCCTACCAAGAGGTATTCACAAGTTATAATTTACAGGGTGGCTGAAAATTACGTGCTCGCAGCATCTGGCAAAGTTGTAAACAATGTATTGGGTTGGTGAACTGCGGGACCTTGAACTAAAATTTATTCAACATAAAGCCATGAATTCATTCCAAATAATTTCCATTATTATTGACGACTTCTGCCCATTTTACAGGCAATTTGCGGATTCCTCTTTCGTAGTAGGATTTTGGTTTGCGTGTGAGACAAGTGTGAGACTCAAAAATGGAGGACTGGAGATGTCCCAGTTTGAGCACTTTCTTCAAAAAAAACCCATTTTGGTGTCAATAGAAAAGTTGTAGAGAATCAAAAATTAGGCTTATAGCCAAATTTCCAAAAAGATACACTTAGTAGTTTCGCTTAAAATGCAAGTTTTGTGAAAATTCGTAAATTTTGCATTTCTTGAAAACCAGTTTTTGAATCGTCCTGAAAATTCGGAGATAAGCTTAATTTTTGATTCTCTACAACTTTTCCATTGACACCAAAATGGGTTTCTTTTGAAGAAAGTGCTCAAACTGTCACATATGACAATAGCCCGCAGTTTTCAATTCACCAACCCAATATAAAGCATTACTATTCATCTTTTTGTGTTTTAATATTCTTTTTATCGTTGTCTATTAATTTTTCGTTAAAAAAGTTGTTTTCTAGGTCATGACAAAGACGTGTGCTAGTCGGGGCGCAATTACACAGCTTGCAACAAGCGGCATGAAGAACTCGTCGATCGCATCGAGGCTTGGGGTCGCTCTGAGGATCTTCCAGAAGATCGTAAAGTAATGGAAAGAGGAGGAACATGTTTAGTCCAAGCCCGGAAGAGGACGAAAGAGGACTGTTAACACCCGAAAGATCATCAAAGAATGAAATAATCCAAGATGAGCTCGGACTTCGAAGTTATCGATTGTTAAATGGACAAGTGCTCACCGATCAAGCCAAGCAAAGCCGAAAGGAGAAATGCACGAAATTGTGAGCTCAAGGTGCGGCGCATTAATGATGTTCTTTGGTCGGATGAGAAGATTTTCACCTTGAAAGTGGCTAAAAATTCCCAAAATCACCGTCAACTTCTCAGTCCAGCTCTCAAGAGCACTCGCAAACGAAAAGTCGCTACAAAAAGCCTGTTTCCAAAAAGTTTGATGGTTTGCGGTGGAATCAGTGCTTCGGGCAAGACCCCGTTGGTTTATATCGATAAAAATGTGAAGATTAACGCAAAAGTCTATCAAAAAAGGAGATTCTCGAGAAAGCTGTGGTGCCCTGGAAAAGGAGCCATCCCAATTTGACCTTTCAACAAGATTGGGCGCCAGCCCACAGAGCCAAAACAACAATTCGCTTTCTCGAAACCAAAATTGGCTCTTTTTTGATGAAGCATCAATGGCCTGCAAACATCCCGGATCTCAACAGCCCGTTGGACTTTTCGGTTTGGGGTTTTATGGAAGAACAATTGAGAAATAGGAAAATCAACAATTTGAATGATTTGCGTAGAGAATTGATCAAAATCTGGAACGATTTAGATGCAAATTATCTCCGCCGCACCGTCGATTCTGTAAAGAAGCGAATTGAAGCCTTTATCAAAGCGGATGGAGACCACTTTGAAAATTTCTTGTAATTATTAAATGTTTTTGTTACAACTATTATATAAATAAATATTTTTGAAAATGAAATTATGGCGTTTTCTTTGACACACTTAATTTTCAGCCACCCTGTGAAGCTAAATAGTTTAGGGTTCAATATTGCATATGCGTGATCTCAAGAGCACTGATACGGGAATGTACGGTTGTGCTGGTGATCGACCCGGGGAAGAAATTTATGTTTATGTTAAAGGTAGATCGGTGTAAAAATCGACAGGTAATAATTTTAAAATTCAACAAAAACTCTGATTTCTGAGCACTCGGAAATTGCTAAATTAAATTAACTTGTTTTCAAGCAATGTAAAGAGAGTCTAGATTCAAAGGGTTGTTCTTGTATGTAAAATTATGATTCCCGGTGCTGAAACTTTGTTGAAAAACGAAGGTGTCGTGACTGCTCTTCGAATCGGAGTCGATGGCATCGATGTGATTATTCCATTTCGAGTCACAAAGCCAATCAAAAGTAAAAGTTTCAATCATCAAAATCTAAAAACTCTCTAGGAGAAGACATTAAGCTGTTTGTCGATGATGAAGAGTGGATCGAATTTTGTTGGAATGAGCATAGTGTGTGGGTTTTCTTTGGGAAGAATTAAGCCATTTCAGTCAGTCATAGTCAACTTTTGTTAGAATCCCCACAGTAAGTCGAACTTTTGTTTAAACAAAGTTGCACACTTTTTATTTCTTTATGAGTTACTAACGAAAATAGATGTTCAGACAACTTTTAGAATTTTAGAGATTGGCTGAAACGCGGGGTGGTTGTCAGTGGATCGGCTCCGTCGTTCAATTGCTCTCCCATATGGCATTTCTATGACTCTAGGTCGTAATTTGCATAGTAAAATGTATTTTCGCAGTTGAAATACTATTCAAAACTCTTGAAAATCGATTTTGTTTCCATTCTAGTACTGCAAAACAAAGTTGCTTTGTTTTCATGAGCTTTTAGGTAGATTTTGGTACATCTGAAATTGAATATGGGATCCGATAAATTTATCTCTAATAATTATCTTTTTCTAAAACTTTGAATAAGGCAAACATTTTGTAATTTTAGTCTCGGCTTCAACTTGTCTCCACTCGCTGATCGACTCGTTTGGAGCCAGTTTAACAATCGGCGATTTCGCTGTCAATACAAAAATGAAACAACTGACCTTTTCATTCAGGTAGATAAATTTGGAAATTAATGTATTTCAAGTTGCAGGCTGCCCAAATCATCAACATCTACAATGGTATTAGCATCTTTCTCAGATCTTTGTTCTCAGAAAATTTGAAGTATAGGTATTCGTTTTACGGCGAATTGCACTATGGAAAGTCATCCACCTTTATTTTTGAAGCCAAGAAGTACGAGTTTAAACTCAAATGTCCGGAATGTGATCCAAGCAAAGATGGTGTAAGTTTATTGAATTGTTCACAAACCCTTAAGACAAATTTTAAAATTAGCCTGCAATCGATCATCTGATTGGAAGATTGGAAGATTTTAAAGTCATGGAAAATGTGGAAGAATTTTGGAAATCAGCAAAGCGAGATCATTCACAGTTCTGCAATTGGTGAGAAGTGATTTAGATCTCAATGTTTAGAGATGAGTATTAGGATTGAGCAGTTGATCAATGGAGACGATTTTCGTTTAAGAACTCCGTCTCTCTTCGAAATTCCTCCAGGAAAAACCTCGACACAAGAAATTCGAAATTCATGGGTAAAAAGACAACTACAACTAAATAAAATTATTAGCACTATAGTTAATAGTATACCCATATTCATGGGTCTTTTTGGGTTGGGCAGTCGGGCCAGTTCATGTCTGACCGACCCGAAAAGGTCAAATTTCGGATCAACCCGATAAGTCATTTGTCTGATTCGATTACTTGAGTTCTACTATCCTCAATTATTGAAATGAAGCAATTTTCAAATTTAGTTCACTGGACCGCGAATTGTGATAATTGTTATTCTATTGCTTCTTCTCTTCTCTATTTTCGTTTTTGTGGTCTTTCGGCTGAAAAAGAAAAGAGCCCCAGTGAGACAAGAGAGCATTGAGCTTCTCTCAAATCCAAACTCATTTGAACAAATTCTAATCGCTGGTGGAGCTTATGGAAACGTATTCGAATTGGTCGGACACACGCCGTGAGTGCTCAAAATTTAAACCCAGAAAAGAATTTCTAGACCGGCTGTGATAAAATACTTACACTCGATGTCCGATCGACATCAAATCGCCTTTCGAAAAGAATTCGAAATATTGATGAAGTTAAATCATAAAAATGTTGTCAGTCAAATAAGAATGGAGACAAGGGACGGGTCGAACCAATTTGGAATCATCATGGAATTTTGCCAACGAGGAAGTCTGAGAGATCGTGGGGTTGATTTGAAATGAAACTTATCAAGAATCTTCCAGTTTTGTTCAATCCGGAAATAATTTACACGATGAGAACGGTGATTACTTGGGGAGAGCAACTGTTCGATGCTCTTGATCACATGTTTTTAAGGCACAAAATCATCCATCGGGATATCAAGCCAGAAAAGTGATCATTATAGTTTATCATACAATAATTTCTTCAGCATTTTTGTCACATTGGGTTTTGTCTTGAAATTTGGCGACTTTGGACTTGCAAAGTATATCGAACAAACTTGCACTGGGACAGCAATGGGCACTCAACGCTATATGAGTCCTTTACAATCTGGCAAGAGTCAAGAACTTCAAGTTAGTGAAAAAGAGCCTTTGAACCAAAGCTTTGTAGTTAAAGATAGATAGATAAAAAACTATTAGGAGAGTTTATGATCCTTAACTTTTTCAGGATTCACACCGAAACGACGTGTACAGTTTGGGACTTGTTTTTTGGGAGATCGTTGAGAGAAAGTTTGACAATGGAAAAATAATTGAATTTGAATGCTAGACTTGTGTTCTCCGAATATGGCAGTCATGGAAGTTTCAGTCGGGAGCGTTTCATTTCCGATATCATACACAAAGAAATCGAGAAGCTTATCTCTGCAAACTGTCAGCCAGAAGTGCAAAGCATCATTGAAAAGTAAGAAATATTATCTTGAGTAGAACTGCTTTGCAGGGTGTTCATAAACTTAAAACAATCTTAAAACAACTGCTTGCTTCATTGATCGAAAAAGGTGATGATCTTTTAGAGAAACATAAAAACGGAGTGTCGAATGAGGGAGAAGTTTTGAGTCCAATCCTTCAAATTTCTAGAAGGATGTCGCTGTCAAAGTCTGCTTTTTGACTGCGTGTCGAAAGTTGTGAGCGCAGCAATGATCTCAAAACTTTAAGAATTGATCAAAACATTCCCATATTTTTCACCATGCTTAAGTAAGACAAATCAAACATTTCAGTTAGTGGTTATCTTATTCAATTCGAGCCTCTATATCACGCAGCATTGAACTTTTGGTTGACCATCCTTAAGACTTTTGAAAATTTTGTTGCATAGGCCAAATCAGAAAATATTTTTGTGGGAACCCATATAAAACATTGTGTAAGTCAACAGAAAAGGCTACATGATCTTAGTGTAAACTTTATTGAAATGGTGAGTAATACAAAGATCAAATTTCTAGCCTAAAAATCTATGATAATACAATAAGACCCAGTCGGATGATTCAAACCTAAGACAGACAAACGAGCTTAAAACACGACAAGCTATTTCATTTGGTCTGACTAAGGTTTGATTTTCTCAAGATTGAAAAATCTGATTGTTTCTGATTGAGTATTTGCTATGAATGTGTGAAATAGTACCTGGCTACCCCTAAACTCAATGCGTATTGGCAAATTCTTTAGCGGGGCCAGTCAGTTACAAATTTCCAAGTTTTCATCTAAGATTTTTATCTGGTTAGACTTGAATTATAAGCAGTTGATCAGTTCTGAATAAGCAATATGTAAATGCCTAATATTTTCTGTCTTCGCTAAAGTTTCTCATTTGCTGATGTGCCAAATTTGAGCTTGACAAGAGACCAAATGCCAGAGAGATTCTCGAGATGATCTTATTGATCATTCAAGTGAGACACGAGTGTAGATTTCAAGCAAAAACTTCTAGAATGATCGATTTATCGCTGATTTGGAACTTTTGCCAATAGAGGAAAATGAACAGAATATAATTTTTCGCCCAATCGGCTTCGATGGAACGAGAAATCGGGAATCGATCGAAGTGATCACGACAAAATTCGATGATCTTCTTCCGCATCACGCGAACAACGAAAACGAACAAGTTGACTAGCAAGTTGACACCAATCGAACTAGCATTTCCATCAAGTTAAGTTCAAAAATAAATTTTTGCTGTTTATCAAATAATTATTCTAATTTTACTAATTTTATTTTTGTTCGTGGCACTAATTGTCGAAATTTCCTCCTTTTCTTGTCAAGTTTCTTTGCATTTTTGGAGAAAAATTATCGAAGTGACACTGAATTTGGAAATTGAAACAAAGCAAATGCAAAAAATTTGTATAAATACAGATTTTTTAAATCATAGAACAGATCCGAGGAATCTTTGAAGATTTCTACCAGTAGAAACTTTTACCAAAACTTTTACCATCTCACCTAGAAACAAAGAAAATGCAAAATATTTGTATAAACACGAGAAAGTATTGATAGACATTGTTGATATGCTGCATGGGCCAGAAAAAAGATTGACTAGTATAGAAAATAGTCGAAGAAAGATTTGATAGATTGATCGATGAGGAACAGATCATCTGAAAAGTTTCCAATGATTAGAACTTGTTCTAAACCGAAAATTTTACAACCAGGACAAACTAAACTAAGTTTTTTCTTTTCGAAAAGTGTTTAAAGCTATTCTCTATTATTTCGGTAAACATCCAGTTCGCCAAAAAGCGCTTAAAATGCTTAAAACTCTGCCCATTGATAAAATTTTTTAAATCGTAGAACAGATCCGATGAATCTTTCAAGATTTCTACCAGTAGAAACCTTTTACCAGTCCATCAATTTCATCCCGTCAAAGTTTGCTCCTAGTGGATTATCATACTCGAATCCACGAACTTATTAGGCGCTTTAAATTTTCATGTGACCTATTCTAATTTGTGTTTGATAAGTATCACCATCCCACCATTTTGCTACAAAATTTCCTTATTTCATGCTCTCTATTTATTTTAAACACATTTGCTACCTTCTGCCGTTCATTTTCTATTTTAGATCTGGTCTTGTCCGATTCCCCTGATGTTATCATGGAGTTGAAGCGATTGGAGCCTCTTCCTGGATCTGACCATTATGGGATCACGTTCAAAATTGAAGGACTGCAATTTTCGACTTCTCCGCGGAAAGGTTGCGTGCATTTTTATTTTAATCCCGACCAAGCGGCTCTTTCCTTCGTAAACTCCCTTAGAGGGAGCTGTTTCTGCTCTAGGATAAATTCTATAGATGATGACTATAATTTTCTCTGTTCCAAAATCCTCATTGCCATAGAAAACTCCTGCTCTCGCCCTGTAAAATTAGCCCCGAATCATATTACGAGAGCTAAAGCAAGACTTCGGCATTTTTTTGAAGAGTCTAATTACGCAAATCCTCTGGTTGACCCACTAGTAATCAAAGAACAGCGCAAGCTCTCGAAATTTTGTCAAAAGTTTGAGTCAAACATTGAAAGGGAAGCTGTTTATTCGAAAAACAGCAAGCCTTCCTTCTCCTATTTAAATACTAAAACAAAAGATCCAAAGATAGTCTCCAATTCTTTCATTGATAGTACTAAAATTGTTTCCAATCCCGGTACCATCGCCACTGAGTTTGCCAAATTCTTTCATAGTGTATATACGGTTACAGATAAAAATGAACAGTGTCCGGCCTTTCTGGTAAAATAAATTGACGTGCAGCCAGATTTCTTAATATGTGTAGCGGACATTGAGGAAACTTTTTCCAAATTACGGCCTAAAAAGTCGTCGGGTCCGGATAGCCTCTCAGCTTTTGCTATTAAGAGACTTTCTGGAGTGCTTACCTACCCCTCTTTTAAAACTCTTCAACAAAATTTCTCTCATTTCAGATTTCGAAACAATCTTTAGTTATTCCCCTTCTCAAAAAATCTATTAAAAGCCTTTTCAGTAAGTATCCTCCCATCTCTTAACCTCCCCTGTATCGAAACTTTTTGAAATTATCATCAAAGATAAACTAAACAGGATTGGCAAAGAGGATTATATCAGAGATCTTGGAGTACATATTTCCCCACCTTTAAATTTCTCAAAACACATTGAAATTATATGCCGTAAAGCTTTTTTCGTCTCTAGTCGTATCCTAAAAGCAAATTGTTATCCGAAAAACGACACTTATAGAAAGTGTTTCGTCACTTACATTAGACCCATTCTAGAGTATGCATCTATAGTTTGGTCTCCACATATACAAGTTGATATCACGTCTAAAAAAAAATCCAGAAACGATATTTAAATAATTTACAGAAGATTGAAAAAA